CAAATGTTTTGCTAAGATGACCCACAAACTGCATTTTGTGGTTTTTTTTGTTTGTTTGTTTTTTGTAATCCACCATTACCTATATGCACATTCTGCCCTGCCGTCACAATCCTAATCCTGGGCAGCTGGGTGGCACTGCAACCCTGTGTGCCAGGTCACAATGCCCCGGAGCAAGGAGCTGGGACAGGAGTTGTCACTGTTGGGCGAGCACGGGGCAGGCTTGATTTCCAACCCACATTCCCTGTGGGCCACCCTGCTCACGGGGCTAGGAGAAGTGTATGTTTGCCTAGCGCCCTGCGACCCATCTAGAATCTTCCCACAACCCCCAGGACCCATTTGTTTGGGGGGAAAACTGCCGTAGAAGCGCAAGGTATTATTTCACATTTGAGGGTTGAGTAACCTGAGAAAGGAGTGCTATTTTTGTCTTGTTGTAGGAGTGGGAGGGACTATATTTGCTTGAACGGAATGTGGAAGAAGACCACCACAGGAAGCAGGCACTGAAAGCAGCAGCATAATAAAGGCTCGACTGAAAAAACTCTTAGGACTTAATTTGCTCCTGCTGCTTATCAGCTCTTCTGTGCAGTAGAAAAACAAAGTCTTTGTTATGACCTAGCAGAGCTGTTTAGGCATCTGTTTGCCTCAGGACTGCTTGCTGTGCTGCTATTCTTCCACCTTTGCTTTTAAAAACAAATCCTGGTGACTGCAAATATCCTGAACAACAACAAAAATAAAGGGTGCGGAGACGGGTGTATTAAACATACACCGTAATATCTGAATGGACCCCACCTCCAGGGAATGGTTTTGGCTCTTTAGGAGGGTGATTAAAACAGAATGACATTGGGTAATAAAGCTTCTCTGAAGAGTGGGAAGCGTAGGCTGAACCTGGTGGACACAAGTCTCTGACCTCCAGCGTGTGCCACTTCCCTGTAGATTCCTGAAGGATTATTGTGAGAGAGGCAGCTTCTCAGACCTGGACCTTATCGATAACTTGGGACCCTCCATGCTGCTCAGTGATCGGCTGACGTTTCTTGGTGAGAATCTGCTGCCTACAGACCCTTCCTAGAACTGCTTTAAAGTGTTGTTCACCCTAAAACCATTTCTCTGGAGCTGCTACTGGTTCTCTTAATTTCTTCTCCCCTGTACATCCTGAGTCCATTACAGATGTCAGAGGGAGAGCAAATTACTATGTGGTTTGGGATGTCATCCTCTTGCTGTTTGTTGGCAGACTGTTTTACCTCAAACTGCATTCACAGAAGGTCTCTGATGTTCCACCTCAGTTTGTGCAGGGCAGTCTGGGGCTCTGGGATTTATAAATCTAAACTAAAATCTAACTAAATAAGCATTTATTTTCCCCATCTGTTTCCCTATCTAGTGGTGCTTCCTGTGAGGAGTTAGTGATCAGAACCTGGAAAAACGTGTGTGCGGATTTTCCTAGATCCCTACAAAGGCAACCCCCTTGCACTAGTTATCTTGCCCATATGGTAGTTTTGCCCACTGCTTAGAGCTCTCCAAAGTACATCTCCGCAGCTCCATTTGTTCAGCATGGAAACGCCAAGCTCACAGTGAGGAGGACTTGACTCCATACAGGAACTAGGGGGCTGGCCCTCTGCCAAATAACACAGGAAAGGCTCCATCCGCTTCCTTTGTATATGCACAACTTCTTTCCCCTAGCGGCCCCAAACCTTACGCTGCTGATACCTGCCTGTCTTTTGGTGAAATCCCTTCCCTCCTCAATTAACCACTTCACTTCCTAGATGTCAGATCTCATCCTAACCAGGTCCTGGGGGTTCAGAGACTTACAGGTTAACAAAGATCTAAATTTCCAGTATAAGCAATCAGAAAAATCAATGCTTTACGGAAAGCCTTTCAAACCCTGTTACGTTCTAACGCAAATATACAGGGCAGAGGCCCACTTCTTCCCTTGCAGGCCACCTTTAAAGGAAATGGTGACTTGCAGAATGTGTTTGCTTTAAAACCATTCTCTGAGCTATTCTGGAAGATGCTGCACAGATGCTCACTGTATTGCCCTGAACAAAACTGAGGTGTTGTCCTTTAAGCAGGTTCAAGTGGTAAACAGCAAAAAAGGGCAGATTTCCTTCTGTCCCCACCCTGTATTTATTAAGCTATTTTGATGTATAAATTGTACAAGATTCCAACTTCCCTCTTTAACCCAGACCTGCCAAAGGGCCCAATCCTCCCCCCATTTAAGTTCTGGGAGTTTTACCACAGACTTCATAGTAGCAGGATTAGCCTTAGTTTTTTGTAACCAAAGCCTAGGATCTTCTGACAGTAGCTAACATTTTACTCCCCTCGCCCACCACACACACAGGGAAGTACCGAGAATTCCATCGGCTGTATGGTGAGAAGTGGTTCTCTGAAGCTGCCAAGCTGCTCCTGATGCTGATGACGGCTCGTATTGCTCCGTGTTCCTTCTGGATGACCCTGTTGACTGATGCTCTTCCCCTCCTGGAGCAGAAAGAGGTGAATGTGGGGTTCTGATGCAACACCACAACCACCATACTTTGTTGACCCACAGGCACCCCTCTTATTCCTGACTGGAAGTAGGTGTACACAAATATGACAGGGTATCCCAGAACTACCTGTCCCCCCCTCATGACTGACACAAGGTACACTAGCGATTCTCCATACTTCTCATGTAAATGAGTTAGATTTGGCTGTTCAAGAAATGTGTGGCCATGTGAAAGTCATGGCCAGTGGTGGCATGGAGGATGCAGAGGCACTTAGGACAAAATTAATCTCTGATGTACATCCTGTGAAATCCTTATGTTTACACTAAGATTGCAAGTATTAGGGGGATAAGGGTGTAATTCAGCCCTCTCCTTTCAAAGTAGCAGACTCAATGCACTGTTGAGGATTTAGGCTTGTTACAGACTTGCCCAGTTGTTTTGGGGGGTTTGAATTTGAGATTTTCCAGTGTGCATCCCTCTGGCTTACGGTCCATCCAGAAAATTACAGCCTCACAAGTGCAAGACCCATGACTTACCAGGTGTTAAGTGGTCCAAATAGAGTCATGGGCATGCAGAAGCATTCTCCTCTTGTTGACCTATCCCTCAGGAGCCACTCATTCTGGATCCCCTAGATAAGTGGTTAATGTTTTAAGCAAACAGTCTCTTTCTCACAGGTAATATTTTCAGCAGAGCAGACATATGAATTAATGCGCTGCTTGGAGGACCTGACAGCTGGAAAGACAGATAACCAGAAACTCCAGGTAATCTTGCCTGAGGTCAACTGGATGATTCAACTGGGGTAGCATGGGAAAGAGGAAGCAAGTCTCCATAACACTATTCTTGTTTCTAGGTTGATGACGTTGAGACTACCAAGGTGGAAATCCTGAGACTTGCTCTTGCACGAAACCTTGCCCGGGCTATTGTCAAGGAGGGCACGTTGGAAGGATCATGAGAATGGGCTACTGAAGTAACTGTGGCATACTGTACATAAAACTGACTGCTTTTCTAAGAATAAATGTCTTGTTTTGCATATTTCTAGCTGTTCTTGTGCCAGTGTTTTGTCGTCTCAAATGAGACAATGAACATGTAGGAAGTCTCCCCCCAACATTCATTCTATGCCCCTAGATTCCTATGAAGGATTTGGTTGCTATAAGGCAGCTTGCAGGGGGATGCTTGCTGGGCTTACCTACATGGTTAGTCAGGTAGCTAAACGTGTAACATTTGCCTCTGTTACCATTTCAGTTGTCGTCTCCTGTAACTAGAACGGAATTTGAATAGCCGACCTTTCAAACCTGATAGATTTGACACCACCTCCTTTTGGTTGGTGGATTGAATCTTGTGGCTTCCATAAACAGCAGCCTGCTCCTCACTGTGTCACAAAGGGTCGCACACAGAGCAAAGTAGGGAAAACAGTTTATTTAACATGCAGCAAAACAAATGCATTGGAGACATATTTACAATATGACGGCTCAGTATGAAGCTGCAACCTCAACCTCTGAACAAGTAACATTCATAAATAGTTTAATTTCCAAAGCTTGTACAATACTTTTCCCCACAGTGAGACTATGGTGCCTTGCCCTTTGACTGTACAGCATGGGCACTGCAGTGCCGTTAACGAGGAGAATGAAGCTATTCTGCTCTTCTGATTTCCTCACAGCCACCATGAGAGTCACTTCTAGGCATCTAAAGCAGTGAAACCTGCTTCCTAACAATACGTTACAGCACCTGGGCAGACTTAAAGAGCTAAGCGAAGCCCCTAGATGTATTGTCTACAATGCCAGTGAGGCCCATGTTGAAAGCAGAAAGAAAGTTCCTTGCTCACCACCTCTTTCCATCCGTTTAAGAACACAGCTGCTGCTTTTTTTCAGGATCCAAGAGCATCTTCCAGTCACTTAAAGACAACTGAGGAGGCCACCCGCCTTGGTCCTGAGTGCCAAACCAGCGTTGACACTTAGCAAGCTGAGTTTGGATTTTTACTTCTACACTTACCTTTCAATGGCTAGTGCCCCCTTCGCATCAGGGCGTCTGCTGTGTCTTTCACTTCTCCTTGCGGTTCGTATTTCTCACTACTCTGAAGAAAAACATTGAGCCACAGGGGAAAGTATAAGATGGCTAGAAAGAATTCCGAGCTCTACTGAGCGTAATGGGTTTTATAACCACCTCTAAATCCAGCAGCACTTCCTCATTTTAGTTTTATTCCTATAATAGGCTGGAATATCTTCCTGCTGTACTGAGACTGTGGACAGTCAGGCTGACCATTCCCTTCACAATTTAAGAGCTGTTTGCCTGTACCTTGCACTGCTGGAAATACTTCTAGTATAATTAAGTTTCCATACAGCCACCCCACATGCTGTCTTCACAGGAGTGTAAGGTTACAGATTTAAAACAAGAAAAAAATGCTTCATTAAAACAATTTGCTAAAAGGTCCCTGAAGGATTGTTTAGGTTTGAAATTAAGAATGGGGGGAGGGACTACTAGAATCAAACTTTCAGTGTATTGAACTAAGTCTCCTCATTCATGTAGATACACGTGCGTGAGCCCCACAATTTAAAATACAGTTCGTTTTCCCCTTGTGGAGAGAATTGCACTTAGCCACTTAATACTGGGAACAAATAAAACAGGGTTCTAAACCCAGCAGTGCACCATCACAGCCAAATGGATTCTGCCTTACTTTCATCAATCTGCTCACTTATAATTCAATGTCCTATAGCTCTACTATTTACATCTTGTATTCCTAGTCTTTTCAAGAGAACACAGTATTCAACTTTACTAATAATACTGCCTGCAGAAGGGGAACTGAGAGGCTTTTCTCCTTACCCCTGGTCCAGCCTCTGCACCTGATTAGTGGTTGCACTGAGGCTGCTGCACTGTAGTTGCCATCCTTTATTAGTGTAACCTGTGCTGTCCACTCAAAGACAACTGGAGCCCTTTGGCCCTGTTGGTTTTACCTCCTCGCTACACCCATTTCCTCTCCCCCATACTATGGAATGTGATGAAGGCAGAAGAATACTCAGCACAGGCATGGGAGGACAAAAATTAGCATGAGCTGCCTGGAAGAGAGAGAGTGCAGAGGCAGCTGGGAGTATAAAATAAAAGAAAGCAACTAAAGAGAGTGTCACACAATGTGCAGTTACTGTCTGAATGGGCAGCACTGGCTTAGGCTGCCCAGTGGAGAGGAGAACAGAGGGGGCGTGAAGTGTTATTTTACTGTAAAAAACCCTCCCGTCTTGGAGCCAGTGGTTACTGCACAGCATGCCTAGAAGGTTCAGTTCTGGCATCAAGGAGGCAAAAGCCTGAGGCCAGGCACAGACATTAGGGCTCTGCACCGAGGAAACTCGGGATGGCATCATGACCCTACCAGCCTGTAGGCATCTCTGGACAACAACAAGGGAGGAAGCCGACCAATCCCCTTCTGGCTATAGGTCTCCCTTCCAGAACACCATCATTTCAAGTTTAATAACAAAGTGGAAGATAGAACCAGATTCACCCAGAGGCCAAGATAAAGCAGCCAGCAAAGCCTCCCACTGGCTGCCACTCAGTTCATTCTTGGCATAGATGCCCCGGGCCCACTTCAACCCGAGGTAAAACATTCCAGACTAAAGCTACAAGCGGAGTGGTCAGGACATGTAAACAAAGCTAAACATCACCAGTGGATAGCATGTGTGCCCCTTCCACGTCACATTCATTCCAGTCCCTTTGGGATCCCTGCCTGGTCCTGTCATGGAGACTGTGGCAGACTCGCTGGGTCATAGATTACCCCACTGATCTACTGGGGGAAACTGATCCACTTCCCCAACCTCTGTGCTGGGCTGGTCTCCCAAAGTGAAAGTCAGTCTGTACCTCAGCCTCACCTTCTCCTGCAAGGAAGAAGAAAAACAAGATGTTAAAGTAACAGCCTCCCCTGGAGCAGGAAGGCCATGGAACCAGTAGCAGCAGGAGAACAACGGCAGTGCTCCCTGATGACACTCCACTGTAATAACATTTTAGATCCCAAAACGGCTCTGTCCAGATACCCCATATGGGGTAAGAGGCCAGCTTATGTTAATGGAGCATTTCTGGATACTTAATAAGGCTGATTTATTTATTCTTTAGTTTGTAAATATGAGAGGTCCGTCTCTTGGAGTGAAACAGCAGGAGAAAAGCATTTACATTGCAATATAGATTCATTGTATACACTGACCAGCATTCGTAGTTCAGCTGCTTCCCAGTGATCCTACTAAACACATGCTTTAGTAGTGCTAGAAGAGTATGAAGTCTCAAAACGAAACAGTACTGCAGGATGTAGAGGAAGGAGAAAACCTGACAGATGCCTATTCCTTAGAGAATGACTACGGGAAAAAGAAATCTGCCTTCCCCTGCTTACATGGCTTTTCTAGATGTTCCACAAAGTGAGTTTATAGAAATCCCACAAAACCCCATTATCTTTGTACCTTGGGATCTAACACTTTTTAACTGATGCTGTAAATGCCACTTTTACCATAATCTTCAAAAACAGTAAGTAGCAAATGTCCAGGTTATCTGAACAATCAAAAGACTACTTGAGTTCAGACTCTGAACTTTATATACTTTAGCAATGTAGGGCTGGAAGGGGCCTCACGAGGTCATCAAATCCAGCACCCTGCACTGAGGAAGGACCTAGTAAACCTAGACCATCCCTGACAGGCGTTTCTTCCAACCTGTTCTTAAAAACCTCCATTGATGGGGATTTCACTGCTTAGAAGCCTATTCCAAGACTTAGCTACCCTTATAGTTAGAAAGTTTTTCCTAATATCTGACCTAAATCTCTTACTGCAGATTAAGCCCATTACTTCTTATCCTACCTTCAATGGATGTGGAGAACATTTGATCACTGTCCTCTTTATAACAGCCCTTAACATATCTGAATACTGTTATCAGGTCTCCCCTTGAGTTTTCTTTTCTCAAAACTAAACATGCCCAGTTTTTTTAACATTTCCTCATAGATTGGGTTTACTAAATTTTTCATCATTTTATTGTTTTCCTCTGGATTCTTTCCAATTTGTCCACATCTTTCCTGAAGTGTGGCACCCAGAACTGGACGCAGTACTCCAGCCGAGATCTCACCAGTGCTGAGTAGAGAGAAAAAATTACCTCCTGTGTCTTACATACGACAGTCCTGTTAATATACCCCAGAATAATAATAGCTTTTTTTCACAATGGCATCACATAGTTGGCTCATATTCAAAATGAGATCCACTATAACCCCCAGATCCTTTTCAGCAGTACTATCACCTAGCCCAGGGGTAGGCAACCTTTCAGAAGTGGTGTGCCGAGTCTTCATTTATTCACTCTAATTTAAGGTTTCGCGTGCC